TTTTGTTCTAATTTGTGTTTCAGTCTGATATTTATTTCCAGGTCTGTGAGTGTTTCCAGGTCTATGTTACTCCAGTGCTCAACTGCTCTTTTCTTTCACTAAAGGCAAATAACCAATTTGATTTTCCTTTTTCCAGCAACAATTAAAACAATTTAAAGGGCCCCAGTTGTGCTTAACATATGAAAGCTGTTGATGGTAAAGAAATCAATTTAGAACAGCAGCTATAGTGTTAGAAGTGGAGAATTCAAGCCAACTTGTTTTTTGGATTTAAAAAAATCAAAATCAGTATACACATACAAAGGTGTGTATATTGATGGTTTGCTCACTTTTTCTTTTAGAAGACATTAGTGGCTTTAGATGTTAAAGGTAGATAATGCTCTTAAAGACGACAAGCAGAATCTCCAAGAGAAAAGGAGATTCACCTTCTAATAAGGTTTTTTTCCAATACCAAGCTCTGATGATAAATAAATTCTTCTTAGCTTCTCCTTATATAGAGTCCCCACCTTTTATATAGTTTTGTGTTCAGGCTTAACTAGAAATGACTAATTGCTTCCTGAACACATAATAATAGAATTTGATGCTGAATTTCTTGTAATTGTGTCCTGAGGAAGCATGACAGAATCAGGATGCTTCATGGATCTCTTGATGTATCCAAGTCAGACCTATGCTTGTCCTTAGCAAGATGGTTATTACAAACCACCCATCAGTGGGACTTCGAATTCCCCTTTGAGACTAGGAATCTTCTGTCCACCCCTGTTTTTCTGGCACTTAAACCATTGCATGATACGGTGCTCAGTCACTGGTGGAAGAACTGAATTGAGTTAAACTCAGATATCATTTGTATAAAATCCCTGCCTCACTCTCTTCAGCATCCTTCTTTCACCTTTGCTCCCTCCCTGCCTTCCATTCATCCATCCATCCATCCATCCAACATCTGTTTTCCAGAATGTACTATGTGCCAGACACTGTGCTGTTGGTAAATAAAACAGACTTGGTCCCAGATATCTGGGGGCGGGGTGTGGGGGACAGACAATAAACAAGTTAACCAACAAATAAATGTAAATTGTGCAGAGTGTAAGAAACATACAAGGTGCCCTGGGAGAGATTAACTGTGTTAGAAATGGAAACCTGGGCTTTCCTGGGGTGTCACAAGACCCCTCCAAGGTGGCCTCTAGGATGAGTCAGACTCAGTTATGAGAAAAACAGGGTGGAAGCGTGTTCCAGGGACAGGAGGGAAAGCATGCAGAGGCTATAGGGAGGGAAGCACTGGGAGGAGGCGGGTGTGGGGGAGTGGAGTGGACCGGAGGACAATGAGCAAGGGCAGGCGGGACAAGGAGGTGAGGGCCAGATCTCCTAGGGCTTTGTAGACCATGAGAAAGAGTTTGGATTTTATTTAAGCCAGTTTTCTGGCTGGTGCTGAGTGGACAGAGCATTTAACCCAAGATCCTGTAGATTTGGTTATGATTGAGCATGTTGCCTTTCTGTTGAGTGTATCTTGGAATGTTGGAGAAAATGAAATGAGATACAGTAAACGCTTTTTCTACACCTGTGCAACCCTCAGTGTTTGTCCTCTCTTCTTAATGGGAATATTATCACTTTGAACTTTGGTATCAGCTTTTAGTATTTAGTGGATGCCGCGTCGTGGTTATGTATCATTGACATTCTGTATCTCCCAACTAGATCACTCGTATTGGCCATTTATGTTTCTTTTCTCTGTTCATGTTCTTTGTCATTTTTCCCTACAGAGTCATTTGTCTTCTTGATTACAGAAATAATTCACATGTGCTCGCTGCTCATCCTTTCCTATGTATTGCACGTATTTTGTCCCAGTCTCCTTCATCTTTTTCCCTTTGTCTCAGCCCACCTTTGCCTTCAGCAGTAATGCATAGTGGCCCTTCTTCCACTTCAGGGTAATTGGTATTTTGATGATGTCCCCTGTATGGCCCAGGATCTCTTCTGGAGTTTCTGGGCAGGATCTATCAGCATACCAAGAAAAATAGTCCGTTACCATTTACTATCTTGCCCAATAGACACTTCGTTTTTTTACATTTTGTACTTATTTTATAAATAACTTATAAAAATAAGAGGATAGTAAAACAAAAACAAAAACCTTCATTTGAAATCTTATTAATTAAGTGTAGTAAACCTGAATCTTCCGTGTTCTCCCGGTTTGGAGTAGATATACATAGATACATGGACACCTGAAATGGACACCTCTGAATGCAGTTGTCGTGCATGGACCTGGAATATATTCATCTTGAAAATACTGGTTCCAAACTTTAAATATATCTCCAGTAGGTTCTAGCTTACCACTTCTGGTTGTTCTAGCACTTGCATCATCAAAATGAAAAACTAGAATTTTTTGAAACCTTTAATGGCTCATAATTTTGTCGAAGAGACTATAACTATATCTTCTTGGCTCCACAATTCAGACATTTTCATTCTTTGATACCAACTAAAATGGTAGATCCATTGAATTTTTAAATTTCTTTCCCATATATACGTTTCTAGTCACCTTTGTATACTAACCCGCCTTCAGCATTTGTCCACTTATGAACTGTATCAAATAAAATTTGGCCCACAGACATCATAAAAGATGAAAGAATATGGTCATACGCCCTTTTTAAGTGTAACAGGATGGTGTAGGTTCTTGCGGCAAAACACTGAATGATGAGGTCCTCCCTGTGGAATGACTAACTGAATCAAAATACCTTATCTTCTTTTTGTTCTGAGAAATACATTGCTCACTCATTAATTCTTGAGTTTGAGAAGATTCATCCATATACACTGTAGAGCATACAGTCATCTCAAGACTCCTAGTCTGAACTTGTACTTAGGATCAGTGTTACCATCCTTGCTAGGGATGCTGCTCTTTGTCTCTGTACACTCATCTTCTGATATAATAGTTGTGAAATCTCTCTTTCTGTTCATTTTCTTCTCATTGTCATTATGGGCAGAAAATTTAAAAATCCTGGATTCTCAACCGTGTTCAATGAAAGCTAAAAGCCGACTGCAAAGATAGTGTCTCAGGTCTTTTATACCTTATTGGAAGATGATACAATAATTTGGGCAATGCAATTAGAAAATTGCAGATATAATATAATAGTGATTACTTTTGCATCATCTTTTTTGGTGATTTCATCATTTTCCTTTGTCTTATTTTAGTTTTTTAAAAAAATATAGTTGTAATTAATCCGAGATACAGGAAAAAAATAAAGCCACTAAGGTCCCATAATATAACTTAAATTTATAAAAGGTAGCAGTGGATCCATGTGGTAATTACAAGATAGAATGAGTTTTATTCTATTTTTAAAAATAAGTAGAATTTCTCTTTGTTCTTAGGAAGACTCTAAAACAAATAAAATTATGAAATAACAGTCTTCCCAAATAGTAAGGAATTATTCAAAAAAAGAAAGTGAAAAACTCAGATTGGGCCCAGCAGACCTAATATTCTACTGGAGCTGCCTGAAGGGCTGAGGTGACCATGTTAGTGAGGTTTTGATCACAGAGTCCACTGGAATGGAAATGACACTTAATTAGTCTTAGCCTCTCTTTACTTCACTGAGGCTTGCAGGAGTTTGCTGTGGCTTAGCATTTTCTGTTCTGACCTTCCCCTTCTCTGTGCAGCGTGGACAGAAAGGATAAACTAACTTCTTTTTGACTGAGGTGGGTGCTTCCTCCTCCTGTTCATTTTGTTAGCAGGCCTGCTTTATCTTGTGTGTCTCTTCTAAGCCTCTTTTCCATCAAAGCCCTCGAGCTGTTAGCTGTTGAAGTAAAGTGCATCTCTGTTGAGCACAGAGCACTGCCAGAGTCCCATTTGGGGAGAATCTAAGAGGTGTGTATGCCAAGCACGGTATCATTGTGTGCAGGCACTGCAGGAGCCTGCCAAAGCCAGGGGGAGGCTGCCAGTACAAATGCCACGTTGACATGACATTTACAAGTTTAGAGTCTGGAAGAGGACTGGCAGCAGAACACTCTTCAGCTCCCTCACTTAGGGTGGCAGTAACTGGGCCAACTTTGGATTTTCAGACTCAGAAAGCATAGTCAAGGAATAAGACTTCATACAGAATTCCAGACTCTCGCAGCCACATTTTCTAGGAAGTGATGAATTTGGTTAGCTGGTGTCTGGGATGCAGGATAAACCATAGTGCAGATCAAGAGTGCAGGTGACCCAGTGCAGAACCTGGAATCAAATCTGGATTTGAATGAGGCGCTATTGCTTTACTGTGTGGCCTTGAGCACGTTACTTTGTGTTAGCCTCGGTTGCCCATCTATAAAGTAGGGATCATAACAGCACTTTGCTCATGGGGTTATTGGGTGAATTAAATAATATCTTTAAAAGTGTGAGCACTTTTTCCAGTGCTTGTCCAATACCGAGTGCTCAATACCTGTGAGGCATTTTTCACATTCTTCAGAAAGTCATGAGAAATTCAGGTTTTCTGCCGTTTGTGTATTTTAGTAACAAGTGGGTATATTATCACCCGCCAGGGACATGAGCTTGTGTATTCTCTCTCTCTCTCTGATTTAGGCATTGCCAGAGCACTGCGCAGGAAGCCCAGCACATAGTTTTCTTTGCCTGTCCTAGGGAACTTAGAACTGGCATCAGGATCATTGGAGCGTGTGGTATCTCTACAGGCTCTTAGATACAGAAACCACCTGGGTGTTAAGAATTTATTCCAGTAATAGCAGTGGTTTGATGGACCTGGAACTTTTCTGTGGCATATTTTATGCAAAGTGAAGGTCTAGAGCTATTCTGAAGGAAACACGGTGGCTTATGACGGTCACCATCTTTTCGGTGTTGGTAACAAGAGATTTGGTCTGATTAAATCTGTTTTCTTGATCTAGTAGTTAAAGGACACATTTTTCTGTGCTACATACATAGAATATGATCCTTGCCACCACACTTAGGTAACTTCCTTTCATCATTTTCAACACTGTTAGTAAATTCCCTCCAATGATAAAATTCTGTCTTGTCTTTTTCTTTTTTCTTTGTTTTTCAGATCTTCAAGGTTGCTGCGGGCATTCTATGTCCCCTTTCTGTCAGATCAGTATACAGCATATGCAAACTATACCATCCTCAAACCCCGGAAAGCAAAGCAAATCAGGAAGAAAAGCGGAGGTTAGCAACACGCCTGTGGCCCCAAAGGACGACCATCCTGTTAACTAGTGATTGCACTGACAGGACTCCCTCCAACTCATCATTTGTAACATTTCTAATAAAGGCTGTCTCACACAGACGCTGGAATCTGGGTGCTTTGGGGCTGGTCAGAGTCATTCCCATTCATGTCTTGCCTTGGTCTCTGTTCTGCATGTAAATTTGCAGCTGGGCAGAAAAAGGCCCTAAAGTCTGGTAGATATGTTGCTCTACATCTTACTGTTTTTCTTCTGTTCAATTATTTGCTAGAGCGGAGAAGAGCAGAACCACCTTACAGGAAGAATTGAAAATCCCTGAACTGGATGGCTGCGTTAAACTGCTCTCCATACTCTGGCCTGGCATCTGAGAACTAGCAAGCCTCTTTGGGGCCATATGGGCTTCTCCACCAAAGCTGTTTGGCAGCTCCTAGCAGACCTTGTTCAAATCCTAGTGCTGAAAATGAGCACAGCCTAATTTCCAACCTACATGTCCTTTTCACCTTGTGCAAGACTAAGCTTCTCTAAAGCACTTCACAGGACAAGGACCCTGTCCTGGAGATATCTCAGGAAAAAGGCAACCATTTGAGGAACTGGAACCTAATTTCATTATATAGGATGCCTCTTATTTTCATTTTATTTCCTTTACAACAAACTGTAATTATGTTTTCTTTAAGTTTTAGCATGCTGTTTCTTGAATTTAAGACTTCTCTGTATAAAGAAGGGTATCAACAGACCAGACCTAATTGTACACGACATATTTGGAGAAAATTAATTCTATCACTTGGTAGGTTTGGATGACCTCCCATTTTTAAGTAATGTATTCTGAGGCCATTTCTGAGGAAATTAAGAATTTCCCTTTATTTTTTAAAAACCCTAGTGGAAAAGGCCAGTGTATATTTATAGCATCTATTTTTGAGTCTGTCTATTGCAAAGCACATTCTGCATGGGGCCCTTCTAGTCAAATAGGCAATGATAAGGACCTAATTAAAATGTAGTAAGTATATACTGTTACTTTACATACAGTGTCCCACAGTTTACAAAGCACTTTCATGTTATCTCATTTGGTCCTCACGTCATGACGAGAGGTAGACAAGGCAAGTGGTTTTATCCCCATTTTATAGATGATGACTTCGGGGTGGGGGTGGGGTGGGGAAGGTCAAGTGGTGTGCCCAAGGTCATGTGACCAGCTAGTAACAGAGCTAGGGCTGGACCCTGGTCCCCTCACTACCCCCTAGTGCTCTCCCCTAGTGCTCTTCCATACTTCCTCTCTTGACTCTGAAGACATTACTTGGAAGAATGATGGTGTTGGCCAGAGACCCGCTTGATAGTGTAACTTTCTATTTTAAGGAAGACTTTTATCTGTATTTCTTTGAGTTCTTCAGAGCCTCCACTGTGCCTGTCTGACCATCACAGCAGCACCCTACCATGCAGCCCAGCCTGTGGCAGGAAAGTAGTGCTCATGTTTGGAAGCCCTGCTCCTTTGCAGCCGATCTCCTATCAGTTGCGTTCCCACATAGGCCATCTGGGGTCCTATTCTAAGGTGCCTTATTTCCCTCAAGGTAATTGTGTCTAGGATCTGCAAATAGGATGAAGCTATTTTCCAGAGGTTTCATCTTTCATTTTTCAAAGAGAAGGGCTTTCTCCAACAGAAATTGATCCCAAGAGAGGAGAAGAAAAGTCATAGGGGAGGAAATGGCTTGTTCCCACATGACAGGTCTCCTCTTCGGGATCCCTCTAATGGAATTTCTGGGGTTGAAGCGCTGGAGAGGAACTCAGTCTAGACAGTTTAGAACAGTAACTGGAGAGTGAAGATAAGCCAGGGTCCCACTTGCTGCTTTAAAGATTTCCGGCATTTAACCCTCAGTGCTTGGTTCCTGCTTTCCGAGCCAAATATTGGCACCTGTGGTCTGACTACAGGGTAGAGAATATTTGGTGAAAGATCTTGTCCTACCTGCAGGAACAGTGTCCCGTCTTTCACAATGGCTAAAGCCCTCTACTTTTTGCAGAGGTAAATGAGTTCCATTACAGAGGTCCAGGGTGAGTAGCTCTTTTCCTAATCCGAGTGATAATGGTGCAGGTCTATTTTATCATCTTGCATGTTAAAAAAAAAAAAAAAAAAGCCTTATGAGTAAGAACTTACTGTAATAGAGCACAAAAAAGGTCACAGTTGATCCAGGGATTCCTTGGGAATATCCGTTCCTATCCCTTTTAAGACCTGGTTTTGGTTTCCTCTGTTGTAAGTTCATCTTTAGTGAGAGCACAATAGATTGCAGAACATTGTGCCAAATGCTATGGGTAAGAGATATAAAGGTGAATTTTTTTTTTTTTTTTTTTTTTGGTGAAAATGAGTATTTCTCATGTGATGTTATATAACCACCTTTAAGAAAAATCTCCATCTCAGCAATACAGGGAGGCTAGCTGTGCCTGAGAAAAAGAGTTTCAAAAACACCTGGTCACACAAGCATCTCTCTTCTAGAGAACCAGTGTTTAGCATGAGCTACCATAAGCTCTGCTTCCCATAAGGATGAAGTCTCCAAGGCACTTGTTTCTCCACAGGTTGTTGAGTATTGAAGAATGAAGGACTACAGATTATTTGTAAGAACCTTTGATTACGGAGCTGAGCGAGGGAGTGGTTGTACTTGGCAGTTTCAGGGCTTGCTGATCTCTAAAGTTTATTTATGTTTTAATAATCTCTGTGTGGGGCTCAGATCACAACCCTGAGGTCAAGAGTCACATGCTCTTCCGACTGAGCCAGACAGGTGCCCCCCTAATCTCTAGGTCTTAAGCAGCCTTATCTGAATCCCAGATCTTAAGACACTGAGCCCCATCACTGAACCAGACACTGTATTGGCATCTATTATCAAAGTGTGCCTATCACCTGGTACACTTTGAGGAAAGACCAGTCACTTTAATCTCTTGGGATAATCCTAGAAAATGGGAACCCCTACTCTTTCTTATTGAATTCAAGTTTAGAAACAGATTGTTTTAAATCAAGGTGGTTCTTGATCTCAACCATTTATTTGGGTCATTTTTCCTGGTTCGGAGTTCTGGGAAAGAGTGTTAAAAACTCATGTGATTTTATAGCATTAGATCTGGAATGACTGTTAGGACAAAGCACCAATGGCAGTCCTTCATTGTGTGTTGCATTTCATGGCATTTATTGAAATAATTCACTGTGGGGGCGCCTGGGTGGCTCAGATGGTTGAGCATCTGCCTTCAGCTCGGGTCATGATTCCAGAGTCCTGGGATCGAGTCCCACGTCGGGCTCCCTGCTCCGCAGGGAGTCTGCCTCTCCCTCTGACCCTCCTCCCTCTCATGCTCTCTATCTCTCATTCTCTCTCTCTCTCTCTCTCTCAAATAAATAAATAAAATCTTAAAAAAAATAATTCACTGTGATTATGCTGTCATCTATCCAGTGTCAGGCAGCTATGCTTTTAATTAAGTTATTTTCTCTGAAGAGGGAAAAGAGGCACAATTTCATCCTTGCCTCCACAGCCTATTAAAGCTCATGTGTTAATTCATTCTTAAGTTACTACATGAAATGCCTTGAGTAAATGGATAGATGGACGTGTGCTCAGCTTTGCTCTTTGGCAACAGATCAGGCTTCCGAACGGCATTGTTGGATTTCAGAGGCCCTCTGGTGTTTTGGTAAATCTAGATGAATGTTGCCTTGCATTTTTCCAGTATATATGACCATGTAATTCGTGCTGCACACGAAATCAGGAAGCGGTGCAGTGTTGAAGCAAGAGTCTTGTCCAATTCATTTGTCTTCCTGATCCCTGTACTTTATCTCCCTTGTCAGTGTTTGTATTACATACATGTATTTTCTGTAAAAGAAAAAGTTAAATAAATCTTGGCAATTTGATTTTCCTGTTCTTAGGGTGATATTTTCTCTTTTGCATCTAGCTTTTAAATCTTTGGTGGGGATTGATACCTCCTCCCATCTCCCCCACTCTGACCCTTCAGTGTATAGACCTGCCTTCCCCAGGCCAAATAGCCTGGAAGGTTTATTCTGAAAGCTCTAGGAAGAAGCCTTTGTTTGTGAAAGCCCGTGAGGGTTAGTGTTATTGTACTTGTGGAAAAACCAAGCCTCGGGACGGTTACTCAACGTGTCAGTGTTGTGCCTAAAAAGTGATTATTTTTCCGGATCCACCTTAGGTTTTTGGATGAAAAATCTCTGGACTGTGACAGTCTTAACATTCATAGAAGCATGGATCTGGTAATATTTAACATTTAGGTAATTTCCCCCTTTGTTGGGGGTTGTCAGGAGTAGTAAAAGTTTTTTGTGAATGAATTCCTGACACCATTCCCATACCTTGTACCTATAGCCAATAACTCTTAGTAGTTATCTGGTTTTATACGACTGGTTATCAGTTTTCTTTCTGTAGGACCCAAAATGCCCACGAAACTTGGTTTGTTTTATTTCTTTCAAGTCATTTCAGAGAAGGGTGCTTTATTAATATAATTCCAGGAGGGAGAGGTCCACAGTCTTAATTTATTTTTCTCTGTCTAGAATGTCATCCTTCACTCTGTTACTGACTTTTAAGGCCAGCTTGAGTCTGTGTCTCATCTATGAAGCCGTTCTGGACTTCAGAATTACTTCCTTTCCTGACCCCTCTTGAGGACCTAGTGTCTTTACTAATGGCCGGGGACCTTGACTTGGAACCCTTGTAAACCTGCCTCTCAAGAACATCGCTGGTACATCTGTGGCAAAGCCCATGTCACGCTTGTGTGTGTTCTTAGCACTTAACGCAGTTCCCCGAACATTTTGGTAGTGTACGTGTTTGTTGACAATGAAGAAAGAAAAGTCAAAAGAAACCTGCAACCAATATACAGCTTTTGCTTTCAATTTGGCAGATTTTTGAAAACATAGCAAGTTGTAAGTCCTCTGGTACTCCCAAGGGCAGTTTGGAAAGTGTGAATATGGCTCAATATTGTGCATATTTTAAGAATTCTCCTGAAGTACACAGACTTTCACACTAAGGCAGATTCCCCAGAGTACCTTCTAAAAAGAGATTTGGTACCTTTATTGACTATATCTATTACTATTTGATTTTGGAGGGTCAGACTTAGCTCAGGAGACATTCTGAATGAGTTTGGGGAAGATGGTGCCTCCCCTCCCGGTGTGAAGAAGCGCTCCATTCCTATCAGCCCCACTAGGAAAAAGGTCTAACTGCAGGATGGCTTTGTAAGGGATACATTCAAATTCAATAATGCCAAGCTAGCAGGTGATTTTTTAAAACTGAAGGCTGTTTTGGCTCTCATCAGCTGTAGAGTTCAACATAGACCTGACACTGAAACAAATCATAAGTAATGGATTTGATTAAAAAAAAGGCAAATTTAGATAAGGGTATGAAGTTACAGAATTGTAGCGATGCAGACTGGGGATTCCTATTGTACCTTCTTTGCATAAAGAGCTCATGATGAAATTAAGAGTAGGATTAAATAGCGTTTTACCTGAGTAAAAAACCTGAGCATTCAAAAAAAATTGCTTCACGTGACCCTTAGGTATCTTCATAAAATACTTAAGAGTGGCAGCGTTTTTTGTTCTTGTTTTTTGCTTCTAGTTCCTGGGTTGCTTGTTGTGTGATTACATGCCTGGAGATGAAAGTATGAACAATTGACTCTCACTGGTTCCAATGCATGAGTTAAAATGAATTCTGACTAGGGTTCTTCACAGACTTAAAACCACAGGTTCCAGCCATTACCTACCGTAGGAGGGTTCTCTTTGACCTCCGTTGGCCTGCGGAACTGTGTTTGGCAACGGGTGCCATTGTCCTGTATTTGCCATTTTATTTTATTTTATTTTATTTTTTAAAGATATTTATTTATTTGAGAGAGAGAGAATGAGAGATAGAAAGCACGAGAGGGAGGAGGGTCAGAGGGAGAAGCAGACTCCCTGCTGAGCAGGGAGCCCGATGTGGGACTCGATCCCGGGACTCCAGGATCATGACCTGAGCCGAAGGCAGTCGCTTAACCAACTGAGCCACCCAGGCGCCCTGTATTTGCCATTTTAACTCTTGAATCTCAAATCGCCAAATGAGAAGGGTGCGCTCTTTGGTCTGTTTGCTAGCTGCTTCAGCAGCATCACCCTCAGTGCTGCAGAGGATGTGACCAATAGAGCGGTGATTCTCAGCCAGAGCTGCGTGAGAGACTCGCCTGGGGACCTTTTACAAAATTGCTGCTATCTGCTTGAGCCCCCCAAGAAATTCTGATTTAGTGGCTGCACATGGGCCCTGGTATCATTAAAAAAAACCCCAAAAAACAAACAAACTTTTTTTGTGATTTTCTATCCACTGCTATTGATATTAGAGGTTGGAAGTCCAACAATCATGCCAGAGATCCAAGATAATTGAGGAGGCAAAACGTTTGGTGTTCTTTTCCAGTTACAATCCCTGGCTATGCACCGAGGCTTCCATCCACACCTCTTGCCATGCCCCCCCCCAACCTTATATTTTTTGTTGTTTTTTTTTTTTACTGACTCTCAAACCTTACCTGCCCTTATTACCCATTCTCTCTGGGCCTTGCTTTCTGGGAAACAATTAACTAATATGATACTGATGTACACTAATGGATGTTAATAATTTACTGTAGTTCTCTTCCCACTGACCCTCTCAGCACTTCGGAATGGTAACACATCTGGAAAAGAGAAATGACCCATTTTGGCGATTTCAGAGCCATTCAAGTGCCATTTTATTGATTGATTGGGAGGAGAGTGAGGAAGGCTGCCTGGCCTTCAAGTTCAAACCTTATCGATCAGCACTGCTCAGCCTGCTCAGATAAGAGCCTGTGGCACCCCTGAGTGGAATGAAACACGTGTAGGTGGGTAGTGAGCCCTGTGCAGGACTTACTGGGTGAGCCTACTTCGTAGGTCTTACATATACTTCACTCTGGGACATGTGCACTGGAGACCTCCCCTTCATTGCCGTGCTGCTGGCCTGTGGCGGAGCCTCTCTGGAGCTACTGCTGTCTTCCTCCCCCTCCACGCACACACGGACGTGAGAGCAAAGGTTAATCTCATTTTGAGAGAAATGACCTGAAATGTGCCCACTCAACCAACGAGAAAACGCTATGTGTCATTCAGCAGTTGGCCTTACTTCTTTCTTGCCTCTATTAACAAAACGTCTCTCAGCCTCCCTGGTATTTCCGAGAATATATTCTCATTTTTTTTTTCTTGCCAGTAAAATATTTGTGGAGTTCTGTAGCAAAAGAGGCTGGTTTTACGGTGCCACATTTATAAAAGAATCTTAGGCATTTTTTTTTTTTTTAAGTATTCCCTTCCCTTGGGCCTTTTCTATAATTGTGTTTTCAGTCTGTGATTACTGGAGATATTTTAAAAAATAACACCAAAGTTTAAGTTTGTTGCCATGGTTTTTTGTGTGTTTTTTTTTTTTTTTGGTCTTGTTTTTGTTTTACTTCCAAGTATCACTGTTTCTGAAAGCTTGTCGAGGCAGCCCTGCCCGCGGTGCCCTCATGGAGACTTCTCTAAGTGCCCAGCAGAGGGCAGGCCATTCTCACTGAAAACTTCACAGCTCCTTTTCTTCCAGGAAGCTAATCTGTTTCAGTATTTGCTGTATTCTTGGGTGTATAAAATTTAGTATAAATGGAAATATCAGAGCTACATTTCTTTAGAATCTGTATCCCTACATTGCTGTAATTACAAAAATTTCCTGGAGGAAACCATGCCCATGATTAACAGGGGATGGATCATCCATCACAAAAGTGATTCCCTGGTTGGGAAATGATTCACGGGTCAGTTCTTTTCAGTTAATTTCAGTTCTCTTTAACATGGCGTCGATGGTATTCATAGGTAATAAAAGGCATGTATTTGGTGTTGGGGGGTGGCTACTTTCAGGTGTAATTATCTGCCGTTTGCCCATCGTCAAGGTTCCAAACATGAGTAAACTGCATCCTACACACAAATCTTGACTTTACCTCTGCTCACTGATATTGTCAGAGGCAACCCACAGGATATGTGAATGGGCAGGGTGCTCCCCTCCATCAGATGCCAACACATTACCTCCAGCACAGTAGCTCAAAGGAAAGTACTAGCGCTTAGCAGCGCTTAGCACCCCTGTAAAGTAACAGCCTAGGGTTAGCCTGGTGATGGGTATTAAAGACGGCACGTTCTGAATGGAGCACTGGGTGTTATACGCAAACAATGA